CCCCCCCTCAAAGTTAGATGTTCCTGCTGAGCTGTGCAGCCTGTGGTTGGTATGCAGGTCAGATTGTGTTTCCTGTAGAAATGCAGGTTAGTTCAACGTGATGCCACATCAGCACCGAGCCAGTGGTCCGCAGAATCACATTATAACTTCATTTTGGGAGAGTCACACTCCCGCTCTGCAGCTGATCCGCTGAATGAGACGCAAACCGGCCGAGGTTAAAAAGGGACTCAAAAGAGCAGCTGGAGGATTCATCTGCTGGAAAGGGTCTCACGGTGGAGGAAGTTTCTGGAGAGAGACGCTGTGTGAATATAGATACTGGATACAGGGAATCATCTCCACTCTTTGTTTCTGTTTCACATTAAAGCAGAGTTAACCGCCCTTCTGTGCAATACATGTGAATTCACTAGGATAAAGGCACCCCGCGCTTTGCCTACACATAAATACAAATGTCCATGTTTATAGGAAAATCTCTTTTTTGGGTCAAATGAACAAAACCTTGAATCTAAATTAAGCTTTTAAAAACAAATTACAGAAAAAGCGTCATCCAGTGGAGGAAAGTAAATGTATTCAAGTATGGTACGTATCAGTTTCACTTGGATATCTATTTAATACTTTCATAAGACTTGTTTGTATTGTAAACATACGAACAGACAAACAAACAAACAAACAAAACGGGCAAATAATAAAGTAAAACAATTAATAAATATCAGTAGGAGTGGAAGCAGGGGGATCCATCAATAATAAGTAAAACATGTAAAAGATCGTCTACTATTTTTTGGTTTTCATTATTTTTTTATTTTTTTGAGAGGGTGAAATTATTTATGGCTTTAGTTTTACTTTGAAAATCGGGGCTTTTATTTTGAAGGTGTATCGCCGGTGACAGGTGAGAGGTTAGCGGGGGAAACCTCTCCACACTAAGGTAGGGTGGAGTTATGGGATGGTGTATCAGCTGGCTGTGAAGGCATGAGGTTTGTCAGTATTTGTTTTGTGTGTTCAGTAAAAAATGACATTTGAGCGTCTTTTTAAACGTTTTATTTAAAAGGTGAGCGTAGCAGCCGTCTTCCACACCGGAAGTTTGAACACGTGAACCCGTTCATTGACTCAGTTATTCTTCTGGATGTAGACGATACTGTTCATTTATAAAAGAAGATTTTATATTTTATTTATTTATCTGTCAATATTTATGTTGTTTAGCTCAGCGATCCTACTACTGCTCACTGAAGCTGAACGTTACAACTGTTACTCCATTACTTAAAGAGGACCTATCATGCTATATTTGAAACATATAGGGCCATACCTATACAAAACATGTCTGTGAAGTTTTTTGCTTGAAATCCCAAACAGTTCATTGTAGCCATGCCTCATACTGCTCAAACCCCTCTTCTGCAGCCCTGTTTGGGTCCTTAGCTTGAAAAAAAGCAAAAGAGGAGGCGGAGCTAATGCCTGATCAGAATTCTACCGGAGATAAAGTTAAATTCTGCTCTGATAAAACGCCATCCTGTTTAAACCACGTGAAAGATTATTTCTGAAACAGTATGGAGCTCAAATGCTCTGAGTGTTAGCGAGGCTTGCTAATGTAAACAAAGACGAGATTACGTCCAAAACAAGTCAGGCATTGTTTCTGATAGCCACTTTCTGTGGGTCCTAACCGTTTCTCTATGACTTTAAACTAACTATTTTAATTCTTACTCCATTACTTTTAGCTCATTATTTTTAACTGAATTAACTGATCTGAATCCATCGCCGGTATGATAATAAATACATAAAAGTTTGGGGTCCAATATTTCATTTTATTAGGCTTACTGTGATAATGCATACCCCACGGGGCCTAATGTCATTTTGTTTCACAGTCTTCTTTCAGGAGGAAGGAATGTTAAAATAATGATAGTAAATAACTTTTGTAGTCATTTCTAACAATTGGTAGACTTCACTACTAGAGGACAATCACATTTTATCTAGCTATTATTTTCAGTATTTATTAATTTGTTGATTAATTTTATAGTCATTTGAGCATGAGAAAACTCTGAAATGTCCGTCCGGCGGTGAAATACTACGAAGATATTGAATTTACTGTAATGGTAAGACAAGGAAGACTAGGCTCGGCCCTCAATACTCCACAGATATACATAGCACGATGAGTGATGATTAGATAACTAACCCCCCCGAGCCTACAGGTGGAAGCTGGGGTGGTGTGGAAGCTGGGGTGGTGTGGAAGCTGTGGTGGTAGGGTGGAAGCTGGGGTGGAAGCTGGGGTGGAAGCTAGGGTGGTGTTGGTAGGGGTGGAAGCTGGGGTGATATTGTCTGGTTGGAAAGCTAGATGTCGGTGTGTTGTGGCAAGCTTGGGGTGGTGTGGAATTCTGTGTGGTTGGTGGTGGGATGGAAGATGGTTTTTTGGTGTATAGCTGGTTTGGTTGGGTGGGGTCCCTGCTATATATTAGGCAGCGCGGACGTGGGGAGGTTGCGCAGCTATTGGCAGTTTCTGCTTGTCTATTGTTTTTCATTGTTTGATGAGAGAATCTGTCTGGTTTTATTTTTTTTAGAGCGGCATATAAGGAGGGGCTCTGCTTTGGTTGGGTTGTATAGTGGCGAGATGGTTGCATTATGTATGAAGGCTTTTTTTCTTGTTGTTGAGGGGCTGTTATCTAGCTCGTCGGCTTTCGCCTCCTCTTGTGTGATCTTAAATCTGTTGTTTTCAGTAGATTGTGTTTATTCTTTGTGCTGCGTCTTTAAAAAGAAGACAGTATAAAGATCATTATTAGCTTTTTACTCAAAATAGTTATTACTGTATTCCTACTTCACAGGGAGAAGACAATGTTGTCTCATTCTAGTCCAGTATGTGTTAAGTATCATTATATTATTTTCACCGTGCACCCTATCTTATTATTTCTTGATGTGGGAGTGTGAGTGGCATGATAAAAGATGATGGTCTTTTTTAACGGCATACTGGCTAATCTCATTTCGGCGTCTTTTTTTAGTTCAGGGGTTTGTTATTTCTAGTTCCTTGTTGGTTGTTCTCTTATCGGTTGGCTGCATCTGATTGAATGATGAAGCCAAACTTTGTGACTCCTTTACGTCTCGTCTGTTGTTTTAGAACGGGGGGTTCAGTGGAGGAATTTTATATAAGATCATTAATAATAATTCCTGTTGCGAGACCCCTCCTCCAAGGACCCAAAGGAGTTCTGAACCAAATACCAAACAGTTCAGAGTATTTTAAAAGGTTTATTTTGTGAAGAACGGCATTTTACTTCGACCAAAATTGATGGAGTCCATCGTCCTGAAATCATCCCCATTTGTTGGGTTACTGCTACTCTTTAAAGTTCTTGAAGGGTGGAGATTTGGGGGCTTTTCTTTTTCGAGTTTCTATGGTCGTCGAACAAACTGTCTTGTTTGATCTTGTGGGTTAAAGCACAAGACTTTGTTTTAGGGATAACACCAAGACACACATTCAGAAAACCATTGACCTCCATACCAGGGGACAGGAAGTCTCAAAATGCAGACTCAATCCTGGGTTTTAGGACTCAACCCTGCACATATTCACTCAGACAGATGTTTCCCTTCACATTCCTCAGCTCTGGTGTTTGCGGCCCCTCCTCTGTGTCAGTGTTTAACCCCCCGCTGTGTCTCTCTGTGATCAGGAGGTCTCTTCCCCTCGGCCTCCCATGAGTACGAGGTGTTTCGCTTCGCCCTCGCTCAGCAGCAGGACATCCCTAAGCTGGTCCCTCAGGTGGACATGGTGGACACCGGCAGCAGCTTCGCCATGACCTACGCCTGTAAGTTCCCTGTCTTTATATATCTGATGCAGCACATTTCTTTCAATATTTGTCTTATTTCCAACCGTTACAAGGTGGTACAATACCAGCACAGAGCAAAACCCACCAAACTAAGGTGCCGTTTACACAAGAACAAAACGGGCTGGATCCGCATAGCTTCTCTTGCGTATAGCCCTTTCATTTAAACGAGGCCGTAACAAAACGATAGAAACGGACCCCACAAACGCTAACAAGTCCCGAGGTGGATAGATCTGCAAACGAAACGCTCTGGGGGGTCAAACGGCTCCGTGTAATCGCCTCTATACCATCATTTCCTGAAAAAATAACGATAGCCCCGCCTCCCCCCGCCTCTGCTGCTCACTGCTGTAGCATGGTCAGTAGCTACTGCTCGTGCTACTGACCATGCTACCGATGTTAGTGCAAAATCTACACCTCCTCGACCACAACCATCAGCAACAAGTGGACATGGAGAACTACATGAACTACCACATGTTGCTGAATCCACCGCGGGGCATAAACAGAAGGGTAGCCATGGCAACATTGCGGGGTCTTCTTCGCTGCTTTTGGTGTATTTTGTGGCGGAAGTTACAGCGCCAGTTACAGTCCCGGAATATGTACTACAGCGTTCTCATGCGAACAGACACGTCAAATGAAACGAAGACGTGTGAACGGAAGACTTTTTTGAAAACGCATACTGTGCATAAACGCAAACGTTCCCGTGTGAGCAGCACCTAAAACAGACCAGGAGAGAAAAACTAAAACAGCAGCAGCAGTAACAACGTAGTGCGGCACTCATGTGTGAATAATACTTGCTGTCATATTTACGCCCATAGTTATAACACTGGACCATCCCTCTGTCATGGATGCTGCTATCGGGGACCAGTTCCTAACAAACTCATCCAGAGTTCCCCCGTGTTAAAACCTCTCCAATAATGTTTTCAACCTAATAAGATATCAGGCAGATCTTAATGAAACCATTTCTGGAGTGTTGTGAGGCGAGAGCAGCATACAAAGCTGTTCCAAGAATGTGCCTATACGTCTACGTTCATAATTTGAGTCTTATCAAAAAACCGTTGTATGGATATCGAGGTATATCTTTCCAAAACACGTGTTCATCTCACGATAAACGGACGCCCAAGATACAATTTGAGACTGAGCTAATATCATAATAAAGAGCACATGGAGTCATATCTACTTGCTGCGGATGTATTCTGTGGATAACCTTGTATTGCTGCAGCTTTTTAAATGTCAAGGATATCAAAATGTATTTTTAATAACTATCATAGACCCCCGGCCCCCGTGTGAGTTTTCCTTTACGTAATTGAGCCAAATACTCTCTGTTGTATTCACATCCACTGACCTTTCTGGATTTAATTGCGTGTGTTCTGAATCAAATTGACTTGAATAGCAAAGAGTTGCTCACAGTGTTGACCCTGAAGATAATGAACACCCTCTTGGATTTTACAAATATCTCATAGTTTCTTTGCTTTTGCTCTCTGGTTCAGTCTCAGGAGTTTTGTCCTCAAACAACTCCTCTACTTTTTTCTTCAATTCATGAATTCATTAAAAGAATCCCTGCTTTTTCACCCGCTTTGAAATGTTCATTTAGAATGATGTCAGGGGAAGGAACCGTTTCAAGGCGATGAAGCTAATCTGTTTCTGTCTTTGTGCTGCTAGGAAAATTGAATTTCTGGGGATCAATAATGAAGTGTCTATTGGCGCATTTCCACTACAGCGCGGAGCTCGCTTTAAGCGTGCCGTGCCCGTTTTTGGTTGCGTTTCCACTTGGCGTAGTTCCGGCTAGCGGGTACTATTTCACCGTTTTCTGGCCCCATAAAATTGAGGTTCTTAGCGGGCCAACAACCGAGCTGAGTCGGGCTGAGTATTCTAAACTAGAGAGAGAATCGCTGGCAAGGGGGCTACAACGAGATGAACATATTTACTGTGATTTAATTGTAATACACGTTTCTAAATGATGCTGAAGTAACAGCATACTGATACCGGTTAGTAAAAACCATGAATTAATGCTTTGACAAGTCTGCAGACAGACGGCAGGAGAAACACCTTTCAAATGCGTGTTTTCTGAATGGAGATCGGCTAAGCTAACGCAGTATATGCTCCGACCGTCCACACTCACAACAACGGCCTACAGGCATAAATAAACCAGCGACTGTATTCTCCATGACACAGACAGTCTGTGGTTTGTACTTGTTTCACTTGTGTCTAGTTTCTGAACAGATATGAGGAGCTGTGAGCTCTGAATGCTAACAGCTAACGGCTGATGTTGGTTTTCTGTGGTTCTCATTGAAGATGACGTCACGGCTCCGCCTACGCTGCGTTACTAACGAGGCCTAGCCATACCGAGCGAGGCCCTGTAATGGAAATGCGCCATAATACTGATTGACTTATCTTGTGTCGGATACTTGTCTTAGATTTGAAAATGAGCGAATAGATCCTTTCTTATTGCTGTGATTGGTGCTGTGAGCTGGATGTGATCTGAGCACCCTGCTGGCCTCTTGCACTCTGTTAGGAGCCTTGTGCTGTTCAGGAGGACTGATCCTCTCCCCCTGCAGATTTATCACTGGATCTCAAAGGAGGTTTTAAACACTCCAGTAGAGACACCAGTTTTATTCTCTCCATGAGTGCTTGATGGGTGCGTGTGGCAAGTCTTGTATTGACATTTGTAGGAAATGGGGAGTTTCAAATTTAATCCAAAATGTTGTTTTTGTCTTTTTCGGCATGTGTTAAAAATGCTAAACAGATTAGATATGGTCCAATCAAAAACCCTTTATAAGCAGGGTACCATGTTGAATGTGGTCATGCTTACAGCCTCTTTACTTTGACCCTAGCAGCAGACACGTGGGACAGATAAGGGGCATAAGTAAAAGAAAGTTAAAGGAAAGCAACTGAAGAGATATCCCTCTCTCCAATGGAAATGTGTCATGTTTCTGAAATAAATATATTCAATTAAAAGACAATGAAGGAAGGTTTTCTGTTTGGATAGAAATTCAATGCAATTTTCCAGAACAGAAAATGTACTTCCTGTCCAGATGTTAGCTGTGAAATAGCTAGAAAGGAAAACAGAAGTGACCAAACGGATACTGTACAACTCTCGTGTCAATCCGTGATATCATTGGGCCCCAAAAATAATTTAGTTTGAAATTGGGAAAGAGACATTTTCTTTTTAGGTAAGCCAACCAACAGTACTAACATTAGAATTGCCCTTATTTAAATGTTTGTAAATACAGGGTGGGTTTTAAGGGAAAACCAGGCGTGTTGCTCTGTGGGCCCAGACGTGCCATGTTGGCTTCATGCACCACTGAGCAACTTGTATAGGAATGAACAGGGTCCCGCCTTTAACACTGTATCCAGCTCTCTGTATACATCCATGGAAATGTTTTTTCGTTTAGGTCTGACTGACCAAAATCAGAACAGAAGATCCAGCTTCTCTTATCATTTTAAAAGCAAACAATGCAAATATGATGTTGTTTATTATTTAAATCAGAAACTAATTAGGACACATTATTGCTTTGACCGATTCATTCAGATGTGGTGCTTGGTTTGCATTTGTATTTATTTATTTATTTAAATTAGGTTATTTTCATGGCAGACATGCACAGAATGATGGAGCTGCACCTGAGCAGCTCACCTGCCTCCGGACCCTGCTGACTAACCTCGCTGATCTCTATTCCATTGTTGAGGTCTACTAGAATAGATTTACATTGTTCAATGTTCCAAACTCACATTGGTTTCTCATCCAGCATCTCTGTATAGTCTGTGTATTCACTCTCTGTCCTACACGGCTTGTTGGAGCTCCTGCCTCCCCCTCCCTATGAGCCCACTGGACGTCTGCGAGACAGCGGGACACAGCTAAACCCAGCCCGAAACCAGCCCGAACACACACACACCCGCAGCCTGGCTGGGAGTTTGTGTGTGTGCTCACACCCCGACTCACAGCCTCGCCGCTGAGAAAAGATTGAGAGTGTGAGGAAGTCCGCGGATTGGTCCATTTGGGTATGGGCACGTCACTGTACCCAGGAAGAAACAGAGAAATGTCCAACGAGGCGTTCTGGGGCAGCATAGACAGGTCTTCTCTGTGTTAGAGTTTTACTCCCTACAGGGTGTACTTTGATGTTTTGTGACTCTGCAGACCGTTTACATGCAGAACAACCTTCATAACACACAAGGGGACGGGTGATAACCAGAAAAGCATGACATGGGCCCTTTAAGAATTTACTTACGGTTGCTGCATAAATAAAGCACATACATCCAGTTTAAAGCCCTTTGTAAAAACCCGTTGACACACAACAGACATGGCAGCCGAGAGAAAAGCCAATGGGTCACAGACAGTGTGAAGCCATAATGCGCCCCTTAGTCACGTTGATTAGAGCCTGTTTGACTGTCTAGTAACTTTACAGGTTTGTAAAAAGGGAGGTTGGATCGTGTCCTGCCGTTCACGGTGCTCTCCATCACGGCTCAGCGCCTCCTCCTCCCTCCATCCAGACTTCATTCAGCAGACTTGGGATCTGGGGAAAACAGAACTAAGAGCAGGCGGCTTTAAAAGAGCCCACAGCAGCAGTAAATGGACTGTGGCTCGGGGGAGCGTTCAGCACACTGCAGCAGGTTTACAATGTGCTGACCTCCTTTCATTCAGACGCCTTTATTACACCTGAATTCAACTCTGTACGTCTAACACAGCCCTCTGGTCGAATACAGGCAGGAGCACACATGCTATCTGATGTTTTAAAAAGCCCCGGCAGACAGAGAGATGCTCACAAAGAAAGTCTCCGAAATGTTTTAAATTATTCAGGTTTTTCATAGTTAGCGGTTCATTTGTATTTTCTGCATGTTTTATTTAAAAAGAACAGTTCTTTAAAGTATCTCAAGAACCAAGCAAACCCAGTAAAACACTTTAACTCTCACTTATTAAACATTTAAAGCATACTATAGTAGTGTTTATTCATGTAACTGCTTTAAAACATAGCTGTAATTGATAACCA